ATATGTCTTGACGAACAATGACTCAATAATCGCTTCAACAATTTCAAATACTTGGGGACTAACGTAGCAATGTGCGGCCCACAGTATATATAAGGTTGCAAATACGCTTCCCCACACTTTTGAGACTAATGGTCACCACACACAGTCAGTTCAACTGATCATTCCAAATGATCAGTTCAAACTAGGACTGTTGATATTTTTTTAAATGTCCGATTTTTGATATATCTTCGATTATAAATATATCAATATCGGAGTTTTATATATAAGTTTATTTATCGATATATTGAAAATCCGATAATTTAAAAATTATCAAAATTCCTAGTTTGAACTGATCAGTTGGAATGATCAGTTGAACTGACCGAGTGTGTCGTCCATAAATGTTAATGTTACGAGCTTGAGGTTCGTAACAATAAAAATTGCCGATAAAATTACCTAAATTAACACTTTAATTCTCTTTACACAAATTAAAACTTAAAACACTAATAATTAAACACACTAATTCACTTAATTCCGCTCCGAAGCTTCGCTCGTATCGCCAATTCAATACTACCTCGATCGCATCTTGCAGCGCCTATTTATATAAATTAGCAATGAAGCATCCGGAATATTCAAGTAAATGCGCGCAAAGGGACGAGTGTGCGCGTGTAGATTTTCTAGAAACTTAGTTCTTCGGATGGCGCTGTCGGTTGAGTGATTTGTGATGTCATTTTCTCAATGCTCCCCTCGCTCTCGTTCCTGACACTAGATAGCGCTAGTGTATCGTCGACTTGAGCGCGTAACACTGCCCCCTCCTAAGACATGTTCGTCCCGAGCATTATCGGCCCCATAATAACGCGCCAAGCGATCCACATGGACGATCTTAGGAGTCCCTCTTGCGCCTTTCTGTAACGGCTCCGCAATGTCAAGGGCTGTCCTATCCCGTGGTGCACCGACATTTTACAATTTCGGTGCTCCTCTACTACGTGTCTGAGGTCCCCGCACGGCCGCACAACTTGTAGATGTTCGACACCAATCCTCGACATCGTCACGATAATGGACCCAGTAAAACTGTTCTCGGACCTTCAGTAGAGTTCGTTTAACACCCAGATGGACTCTTGAACGACCATTATGGCACAGCTGTAGAACATTCGGCACTTTAGCTTTAGGGACAACCATTTGCAAACGACAGCTGTCTCTTCGACCATTGTCCCATTTACGGCACAGGACTCCATCCTGAATCAGCAAGCTGTCCCATTGGGCCCAATAGCTTTTCGTGGTTGAACTCATCGCTGAGACGTCCCTCCACTTAGGCTTGGTAGCACGGGCCTTCATCCATCCCAGAATCGGCCGGATCTTCCTGCTGTGCATGTCGTAGGCTGTCCTTCCACCCGTTGCTGAGGTGGTCTGTCCTGAGCATCCTCACGGATACCACTTCCTTACTCTCTTGCCTACTACAATGGTTGCAATCTTCAGGACAAGGTCTTCTTGTCAATGCATCTGCGTTGCCGTGAGATTTCCCGCTGCAGTGTCTGATAGTAAAGTCGTATTCCTGCTGCTGCTGGGCGGTGCTGTTAGCCGCACTTCGGTTTAAAGAAATTTATTTCTCATAAGAACATACAATGGTTCACTTAAAATGAGATACAAAGTAATTATATACTAAAGTAAAACTATCGCATCTACCTCTAGTGCTGGAGGTGTTATAGTTTTGAGCTTATTTACTATGAGATATAAGATTAAGATTATTTACTATGTCAGAAAAGATTACACTGTACGTACGTATTTCCTAAGTTTACTTTTAAACAATTTTATGTTATTGCAATTTTTTATGTCATCTGGTAGTTTATTGAACAGCTGTGCTCCCTCAAACAACAAAGTTTTTTTGCCATAATTAGTTCGTCTAGTTATTAATTGTAGTTTATTTTTACTTTTTAAGTTGTGTGTTGTTGTTTTTTTATGTAATTGTATGTTTGATTGAATAGAATTAGTGGTAATGTTTTTTATTAGAATGCAAGTGCAATAAATGTATAGTTGTGTAAGGTTTAGCAAGTTAGTTTTTTCGTATAGTACTTTTGTTGGCGTTAGATAATGATAGTGGAATAATGTTTTGATAATTTTATTTTGTGTCCTTTGAAGTCGATTTAGATTTGTTTTAGCAGCTGATCCCCATATCTCAATTAGATATTCGATATGTGATTTAACTAAAGAGTTATATATGATTGTACGAACCTTTTCCGGGATACAGTTTGCGACTTTACGTAGTGCACATAGTAATGACGTCAGTTTTGATTTGACGTGATCGATATGCATTCTCCAAGTGAGTTTATCATCTACCAATAGACCTAGATATTTTTCCTGAGTTGAACGTTTTATTATTTTATCTTCAATAGTAAGATGTGCAAACTCTGGTAAAGGTTTATTCTTTGTAGAAAAAATCATGAAAGATGTTTTTGACATATTAATTGTTAGCAAGTTATATTTTAACCATTCTCCGAGTAAGTCAAGATCTTTTTGAGCATAGGTTATAATGTTGTGAATAGATTTATCGAAATAGAAGAGACATGTGTCGTCGGCATATAATGTTAGGTGACCTGTTAGCCCTAATTTGTTTATATTATTTATATAGATTAAAAACAATAATGGACTTATAATTGAGCCTTGAGGACAGCCGTAGGATACGTTTTTAATCGAGCTGGTAAAATTATCCATTTGAACAACTTGTCGCCTATTATGTAAAAACGATGTAAACATTTCGAGGGCCTTACCTGTAACGCCTATGTTGTTTAGTTTCTGCAACAATTTATGATGGCTTACTGTGTCAAATGCTTTTTTTATGTCAATAAAAATCCCTAAAGCGATATTCTTTTGATCGATTTGAGTTTTAATTTTTGTGATTAAGTCTACTGCAGCTGTCAGAGTGGTGGTGGTGCAGCTGTCGATTTGGAACGAAAGCCATATTGTTGGTCAATTAAAAACTTCTTTTTTTATTAGGTATTCATTTAGGCGGTTATAAAGTATTCGTTCAAATATCTTTGATATAACAGGCAAGACAGAGATTGGTCTGTAGTTACTTGGGTCAGTCCTACTTCCGGATTTAAAAATAGGACTGACCTTAGCAATTTTAAGTGTGTCGGGAAAAACACCGCGTGTCAAACACATATTTATGCAGTTCGTTAGCCTCTCTACAATTATCATTTTCAGACATTTAATCGCTTTGGTGCTGATGCCATCTAGACCAGTACTAGTGTTGGTATCAAGATCGTCGATTATTTTTGATACTTCTGTGATATTACAGGGTGTAAGTTCACTAAGTGTTATTTCATGCGTGTAGTTAAGTTCGTACATAAGCGTGTTATCGCTGTTTATGTGATACTTATTAGGAATTTTGTTAGCCAAGTCCAACCTATTGAGGAGAAAAATGAGTTAAATAAGTCACATATTGAATTACCTTCTGTTATTAGTTCAGTATTCGATATTAGTTTGGGAGGAGCACTGCTGACTCTAATTTTGTTTAACGCTAAGTTAATAATTATCTCCCACATTTTCTTAGGTTTATTGTAATTGTTATGAAATAACTTATGATAGTAGATTTTCTTGTGTGTCTTGATAAGGTTTTTCACTTTGTTCTGCTCTTTAATTAAGTTTTTTTTGTAGATTATCGTCTTTTGGGTGAGATTTAGTCTGCTGCCATAAGTTGTTTCGTAAATTTATTGAGTTTATAATATCTCGGTTTATCCAGTCTTTTTGTGGAGGGTTAAGAATTTTTGTCTTGCTTACTTTATTTTTGTTTATTTGTTCTAACATAAATCTCTCTAGGTAGTAATAGTCATTTTCTTCATTAGTGTATTTTACTTTTAAAGTAGTGTTGTATAACTTTTCGTAATCAAGCGCCATATATTGAACTCTTTTATGTGTCTTTGTTGTTAAGTTGCTTATTTCAAGAAATATCTGCTTATGATCAGATAGGCACGATTCAATTATTGAGAAACTAAATGAGTGATTGTTTATATTCGTACATACATGGTCCAGTATAGTGCTTGTGGTGGTGGTTTCACGAGTACTGTACAGCCTATTAATTTTATTCAATATTTCATATCCAATTTCTTTTATTTCAGCTAGGTATTTTGTGACGTTACTATCTGTATTAAGTAGATCAATGTTAAAATCTCCAAACACAATCGCCCTTCTCCTCCGTTCCAACTGTGAGGAATATGTTTCTAAAAAGTTGTTTACATTAGAACTTCCAGGTTTGTATATTGCACCGATGTTTAAAGATAGTTTATCTATGTATATCCATAAGTAGTGGTTTCCATTTTCACACAATTCTTCCGTTATATCGTATTTTATGCTATTATGTACGTAAATTGAAACGCCACCACCTTTGTAATTTTGTCTATAATTGTAAATATGTTTATAGTTTGGTATCTGATATAATTTTGCGTCGGTTTCCGAAGTAATCCATGTCTCAGTAAAAATTAATAAATGTGTAGTCATCGGTATTGCTTTTAATATGCATTTTATTTCGTCGAGTTTCCCAGCTTTGCGAATACTACGTAAATTAGCATAAAAAAATCTTAAGGAGGATGGGTGCAATGGAATGTTTTCGTAATTGTTTACTAATTGATGGCTTAATCTATCCGTATTTTTTCCGGTTTGTGGTGAAGCCATTATTGGTTTTTTTGATGGGTTTTGTTTATAACAATTGAAGGTGTGCCTTTTATATATTTAATAACAAGGTCCTTTTCGCCTTTTTCTGTTCGTTTCTTTAATTCTTCCTTCAATTGCCTTAAATACTGTTTTTGAACTGGCGTTTGATCTGAGTAAATACTAAGATTTTCGGCTAGGTACTTTTTATTCCGTAAGAGATATTTCGGAGTATCTATATTGTTAAAGAAAACTTTTATAGGCCGGCTTTTGTTTGAAACATATTTCCCTAGTCTTATACATTTAATTGGTTTTGGGCAGTTTTCATGTAATGATATCAACAACTTCATAACTTCTTCATTATCGTAATTTCGTCTCACTTTTGAATTTTTTTCATTTATTTCGGGTATACCCACAATAATGATGTTTTTCTCACGGTCGTATCGGTCTTTGAGTTCAAGGATGAGGTTTTCTTGGCACAAGACGGGCGATTTATCCGTTGAACTTTCAATGTGTTGTTTATCTTTTATCAGGGTTATTTCACTTTCTATGTTTTTTATTTGGTTTTGAGTAGCAGTATGATTGTATTTAATATTTTCTATTTCAGAGTTTATTTGTTCAAATCGTTGTGTAAAGTTTTTTGTTGTTGATTTTATTGTTTTTATTTCATTTTTAATCTCAGATATTTCTTCACGTATGTATTTCAGATTCTCATTTTGTGTTTTTCCGAATTCTTCTAAGAACTTCATCATGTCTGTACGAAAGCTTGCAAAATCTTTTTTTATAGTCTATTTCATCAATGCGTTCCTTTCTTTTTCTCAGAGACACATTGGAATGAAAATCCTTGTCACTATGAGTGGGTAAATTAGGCACCGACCCGCTGGCGCTTCCGCTCCCGCTTATCAATATTCCACTAGGCGGTGTTCTCTATAGATTCATTGCGTGATGCGTCGCGTCGTCGTATGCAAAGTCTTCGTACGAGTGCGAATGCAATGGAAAAGGCAGCTGGTTTCGTTACTCACGGTACCTACTGAGCGGCGCTGCGTATGTGCCACTGTGTACTTTTGTTATTATGCACTTTTTTAAGTAATCAGACTTTAGAAATATGAGCGTAAGGGTCACTTTTAACTGTCAAACTAATGTTAAAATTTTAATATTTTATGCTATTTCACAAACACGTCTGCTTTCCGTAAGCACTAGAGGCACTTCCTTTCTGAGACCGTTCACCTTCCCTTCCTAGAGTGTGCTTAGGGCAGCTGGACCGAAGATGGCCCCTTTCCCCACAGCCATAGCACCTAGGGCTGTATCTTTTATTGTGGTCGCGAACCGTAACTGCTGTAACCTCCCTAGCGTGAGGTGAACGATGATCCTGTCGCCGCCAGGCAGTGCCGTTAGCTGCACTACCCTCTCGAGATCGATCAACTCTCCTTTCCACGGTTCGTTTAGGGCAGCTGGATCGAAGATGGCCCTTTTCCCCACAGCCATACCACCTAGGGCTGTATCCTTTGCTGCGGTCACGGACTGTAGCGGCTGCAACCTCCCTGACGCGATGGAAACGATGATCCTGCCGCACAGCTTCCACCTCCAGTGAATGGGCCAAGGCGTTCTTAAGCGTCTCGTGGTGCCCGAGCCTCACAGCAGCTCCGACTTCCAGGTCGCGGATGCCGTCGATGAATGTCTGCACCAGGTTTCCTTCAATGAGCGCAGGTACAGACCGGTATGCTTTCCGCACCAGCTTCTCCACGTCTAGAGCCCACTGCTGCAGGTTCTCGTTGATGCGTTGCACGCGATCTTTAAGCTGCGCACGAAAGACATGTTCCAGGTGAGCGTCGCCATATCTCGCCTCCAATGCCTCAAGGAGTTGCTCATAAGTCACTTCCTCCCCGAGAGCTTCCAGAACTGTTAAGGCCTGGTCACGCAAGCCTAGTGTGAGAGCAGTCATGGCCTGACTTTTATTCCAGCCGTTCGCCTTCATAACAGCCTCGAACTGGATTTTGTAGGCTGACCAGGAAGAAGAACCGTCGAATGGTGGCACCTTAAATCCACGTAGCGAAGGTGCAGTAGCTACTACGGGAGCTGTATTCCATCCCCAAGTTTGAGTTCATCCAGTGTTTTCTTAACTTGGTTGATTTGGGTCTCAGCTTCCGACAGGCGAGTATCAAGTTGAGCAACCTTATCCTTCACCTCCCTTATCTCTTTCCCGAAGGTAGCGTGAAGGTCGTTCATGAGAAGCATCTGTTCTTCCTGGCCGCCCCGTAGCTGCTCTTCCAACCGACGGACCTGTTCCTCCTGTCGGCGAGCCTGTTCCTCCTGTCGGCGAGCCTGTTCCTCCTGTCGGTGAGCCTGTTCCTGTAGCATCGCCATCAGAGCACCTAAGTCAGGTGCTGCAGATGTAGGAGCTACTGACGGGCCCGCAGCCTCCGTGGCTGGCATTTGGCCCTCCGACATCTGCGGCGTTGCACCACCAAATCTCCTCTGGTCCGTCTCCTGCTGGCGTTGACTTCGGGCACGGACACCCTCCATCTCGTCCTTAGGTAAAATCGGCATGATTTTATCCCACTTCTGACACCAATTGTTACGAGCCTGAGGTTCGTGACAATAAAAATTGCCGATAAAATTACCTAAGTTAACACTTTAATTCTCTTTACACAAATTAAAACTTAAAACACTAATAATTAAACACACTAATTCACTTAATTCCGCTCCGAAGCTTCGCTCGTATCGCCAATTCAATACTACCTCGATCGCATCTTGCAGCGCCTATTTATATAAATTAGCAATAAAGCATCCGGAATATTCAAGTAAATGCGCGCAAAGGGACGAGTGTGCGCGTGTAGATTTTCTAGAAACTTAGTTCTTCGGATGGCGCTGTCGGTTGAGTGATTTGTGATGTCATTTTCTCAATGCTCCCCTCGCTCTCGTTCCTGACACTAGATGGCGCTAGTGTATCGTCGACTTGAGCGCGTAACATTAACTTCAAGAAACCCGCGATTCGGCTCACTACAGAAGCTGAACAGACAACCACTGAAAAAAGAAATGAGATAATAGATTTTGTGAGTATTTAAGCAACATTGCTTTTTCCTGACCTACAACTGATCGCACCGCATAAGTGTTAAACTGGACACAGTTTAGTTAAACGAGTGAGTTTTTTTGCTTGAATTTTTTGCTTTGTTATTATTACAGGCATTTACAAGTCCACTGCTGAACCTAGGCCTAACCTAAAAATACCTCAAAGCGGGGTCCTAAGCCTGCATCTCTTACCAGGTCGACCTCCACCGATTTAACTCCACTTATTTTGCTTTATCATCCCGTAATAGTCCACTGTTGAACCTCTGGCCTCTCTCATCTTATTGGTTCTACCGTAACAGCTACGACGGCAGGTGGTTGAGTAATTCTGGTACCATTTACCACGGTACCAATTCAGGTACCATTCCTTTAAAAAAGAGCAGACTCTTTTCTCGAAGGTCCCTAAGTTCTATATTGAATAACGCTCCGGAAAAACCGCTGAATGTAGTCGATTCCACAAGGAAGTTGTGCGAGGAAGAAAACTTCCTGTAAATCGCACAGTGCTGGACCGCCAATCATTAAGAGAGTATGACTGGTATTTTAAGTTCTGTCGCGATGTGCGATGGTGAAATTGAGCAGCTGGAATTATTCCGAATACAACTCCTCTAAGCACTAAGTGTGGTAGATGCAATATTAAATACAATTTCGGGCATAACATATACAGTATCTAACAAAAACACCGTTGGTCGTTTCAGGGATGTACATATATGTAGGTGAACATATAGGCACATGGCAATTATAATAATGAAAAAAAAATTTTGGTTGCTTTTAATGGGGTTTTACAGTGTCTAATCAGATAACTTACTAAATTTAATATTTTTAAAAATATTATTTGCTTCTGAACTTACCGACAAGTGCTTGGTACTATGGCTATCTATGGCTGCTATGAGGTCAATGACATGGCCGCAACAAAGCAAGCCGGTAGGCGGCGCGTGCTATCCAAGGTTTTTGTTTAAATCGTTATACCCATTTAGACACAATTATTCTCCTAAATTTGAAATTCAAAAATAATAGAAATTATAATGATTTTTTTGTAACAATGTGCTCCGAATTTATGAATATTCTATGCCATCAAAAACAAAACTTGTAAAAAAAAACAAGTCTCGCAACTCAGTTTTTCTACCGTAAAAAGTTGTGAGATCCATGTAATACGAAGTCGGTTAATTTATTCAATCCCTACATAAGAGTCCTTCTGTTTTAAGTTACTACGTAATTAGATAACCTAACAACATTTTATAGTGACCATATCAATGTAAAAAATCTTTTATGTTTTAAATAAACATATTTGCCGTGTAGTGGCGGTTGAGAATATCCACCACCCCATATCTTCCCGTGGGTGTCGTAAGAGGTGACAGAGGGACACAGAAAGGAGATGGGTAGCAGCATCTTCCTAATAACAACAATAACATAATAAAAAACTGCGTTTGCCAACCCGCTCGCCAAGCGTGGCAACTATGGCAAATATCCCCCCATAAGCAACGACGCAAACAAACGGCCCCCAGGCCCCGGCGACCCCACTATTCCTGGCTACGGTGGCGACCATGGTAACGGCGGGGCAGGGGGTGCTAAGAATCTCCGGTGGAGGTTCGGTTGCCACCTACGACGACTCGACCTGGCAAAGTATAACGCACGCACCCTGAGGACTGACGAGAAGATAGTGGAGCTGGAAGAAGAGGTAGACAAGTTGAGCTGGCATATTATTGGATTATCTGAGGTCCGAAGAGAGGGGGAGGACACGGTAGTCCTCGAGTCCGGCAACTTGTTCTATCACCGGGAGGGCGACCATCTGTCCCAAGGAGGTGTCGGATTTATCGTCCACAAGTCTCTCGTCAACAACGTTGTACAGATTAGGAGTGTGTCGACGAGGGTCGCGTACCTGATACTCAGATTCACCAAACGGTATTCATCTATAAGGTCATACAGGTCTACGCACCAACCTCGGCACATCCCGATGAGGAGGTGGAGGAAATGTATGAGGATATTTCTAGAGCCATGCATTCCTCCAAAACCCAATACACGGTTTTGATGGGAGACGCAAAACTAGGCGCAAGAGAAAGCGGTGACCTGAAGTTAGGGAAATTCGGAGTAGGGCAACGGAACCGTAGGAGCCAGCAGCTGGCCGACTTTATGGAGAAAGGGGGACTATTTATGATGAACTCTTTCTTCCAGAAGCGGCCCAACAGGAAGTGGACCTGGTCGAGCCCCGACGGTTCGACAAAAAATGAGATTGACTTCATTATGAAGACCAGACGCCAACTGTTCAGGGATGTTTCAGTGATCGCAAGGGTGAAAACCGGCAGAGATCACCAAATGGTTAGAGGCACACTAAACCTAAACGTTAAATTGGAGAGGTCTCGTCTAATGAAGTCAACGCTCTGTCCCCCTCGTCCTCTAATCCAGAATCCCGAAACCTTTCAGCTCGAGTTACGTAACCGCTTTCAGTGCCAAGAAGATTGCAATGCAGCGGACGATATGAATGACAAGCTCGTGGAAACTGTCCATGCGGTCGGAGCTAAGTTCTGTTAGACCCGCCGCAGAAGAACACAAAAACTTTCCGATCAAACTCTTAATATCATGGCTTTTAAACGGGAGATGAGGCTGCAATCGTCAATAGATTTGACAGCATACAGGCAACTCCAAATGCATGCGGCGAGACTTACGCAACTTTAATACTGCTCGTATTAAA